GTTACCTTATGCAACTTATCCAAATATTAGCAATGTTGAAATTCAATGAACTCAGAATCACTTGTGTTGTGATTCGTTAATTTATACTTTCTCTCCACTTCTCTCTCAACCATTTAATCTTGACCTGGATGGAAAAACAAACCTGCATGGAAAGTTTTCAGAAGAACAATTGGAGGATTCTGAATGCCAGCATAAAAATCTATACATAAAAAAAAAGAGGACATTGGATTGTGGTTGAAGATAAGTGGAATGCCATTCCATGACATACTTTAGAAATATTAACCGTACAGAAATGGATTAGAGTGGCTGCATAGAAGCTTATAAATTTACTTGGTTAATAATGTCAAAGTGGTAAGTATATGGTAGTTGTGAGAGTCTGCACTGGAACAGCAGCTTCCATAAGAAAAGAGCAGAGGCACCTGCTCAGGAAAATGGCTGTAACTTGACACCTGTTTACTACAAGACATTTGGAAGAAATAACAGAAGAAAATGATCCCCATCAGAAAGATCAAACCAAAGGGCATTCCCCCATCCACAGATTTTTTTATTTACTAGTACCATTTAAAAGGTGTGAGAGGGGTGGGTGGGTCGGGTGTGGGGGTGTGGGGGTATGGGGATGTGTATGTGTGATTTTTGCTTTATTTTTATAGAGATGCTGCTGTGTACTGGATTTGCTAGGGTGACCTTGTATTGTTGATTGTTTCCTGACCCCTAACACACACGCCCTCTAAACTGTAATTTCTAAATTTTGGAGTTAACATCCCTTAGCCAATTACAGAACTATGGAGGATCACTGGTCATCTCAAAAGAAAAAGGAAAATAAATAAAGTATTAAAAAAATATTAAAACTACATTGATTCTCCCACTCTAAAAGCATTATTTTAAATGGCCATATATTCAAATTACATTATAATAAAATGTCTAGACATCATTCGTAGTGTTAAACTTATTTCTACTTTGTGAAGCCAAGTGCGTCCTCGCTCATGTGTTAGATGAGATTTCACCTACTTGCAACTCTAGTTCTCACAGTTGAACTAACACAGCATGAAAACATCCCCCCACTGCTGAACCAGTGGATAACTATTTCATTGATGAAAAAGTACAAAAGGAGCTAAGAGTTGTGGACAACAAATAGAATCTCATGCCCCATTAGAATATCGCTGTAAGCAAAAAAAAAAAAATGTTTTGTATTTGAAGAGATGGCAACAATGTTGTCAGGGATTGCTGACATCACTAAGTAGTGGAAAACAGCAGAAAACTGAAATCTATCAGGTTCTGGGGTCCTTTAAGTCAGTACCAGAATCTAATTACACAAAGTCCATTCCTTTGTCCTGTTTTCTAAGTCAAAAAGTAATGATAACTATGCTGAAGAAAACCCTTCCTTTGTTGCTACCAAATATTTTTCATACAGTATAAAAACATAAATCAAGTATTATAAAATAATCATTACTTACTTCCTTAAGATTAAAAAAAAAAAAGCTACCTGGATGCAAGCTTTCATGCCATTTATTCATTTTAAAAATTCAACTCGATTTACTGATTAGATCCTTGGTCTGTGGTATTTCCATAAATTCAGGGAGGAAACCACTGCATGTTCTGTGTATGATCAAAGCCATACAAAAACTCCTGCAGCTGAGCAGCAAAAGTAAAGTTAAGGTCCCTGTAGTGAGCAGCAAGTTTTCAGGGACTGTCACTGAATGTTAAACTATCCTAAGTATTAAGTTATGGCATACTGTCCTGGAAAGAAATTAATTATATTTTGTTGGTAACACATTTCAGACTGTTTACACAGCTGACATTTCTCAGCTGTACCCAATTCATGCCCTAAGCTGTGAGGACTATCTTGTTTTGTAGCAGATGCCTCCACTTGAGTGTTTTCAGTAAGTATAAAAACAACACCACCTGCAACAAAATAGATTACTTGTAAAGCACTAGCTTTACATGTTTTTAAGGTTCTAATGAAACAAAGGTTTCTGACATTTGGCTAGTCTCTCTCTCCAAAAAACCATAGTTATGACTTTTTTGGCCTAAACTCAAGCACTGGAGCTAGTAGATCTGCTGTGGCACTAGTTAAAAGCGGCCGCCTGGCCCTAAACATCTTTGTTGTGTCAAATCATGCAGCTCAAGGCACATCCTGCCAATGTGGCAACATTTGCTCTGGGGAAGTGTGGGTAGGCACCACTTCACAGGTCTTGGGAAAAGGTGCAAATATGAATAATGAGGCAACAGGATGAAGCTTAATGGGGATTCCCTCTCATGCTTGCTGTGACTGATACAGCACCAAGTAGTGTGGCATTTCAGTTACTGTCAGCTTAACCTGCTTCTTATATTTTCCTATAGTAAGGGAATTACATTACAACTCTTTCTAAAAGTAAAATCTTACACAACTAGTAAAACATGGGTCTCATAAGAGACTATCAAACTAATTCAATAAATTAGGACACATAATGTATGTGGTACTTTAGTATAGAGGAATAGGTCCTATTTTGCTTATTTTTTCTGTTACTTTTGAGTTTGTACCTTATTGGCCTATTTCCTGATTTCTTTAAGTGTGGGGTCAAAACCATTTTATCTAAACTTAGAGCTCATAGATGTACTCTAAAGCCTGTGCAGCCTTGCATTTTAAGACTTTCTTCATCATCTTCTGTCTTTACTGTCACTTCAACTCGTTTAATATTGACTTTATATTAAACTTGAAATATATCAACCACTTATATCATTCAGATTCAGTATTGCCCAAAGGATAGATAATCTGGAGTGCCTCTACTTACACTCATTGTAGCAAATTTCAGATACTCTTTCATATGCTCAAATCACTGAATTCTTACATCATACTTGAACTATCTTAAGTACAATACTGACAGATGTCTTTACAACCTATTGTAAGCCACACAGTAAAAATGTGTTATCATTAATCTTCATAAAAATGGTGGAAAATGGCTGAGCTTTAAGAATTTTAGTGATGTACTTGGATCTTAAAATTATGTATTTCTAGTAATGATACTTATGTCTCATAATGAGTTTCAAACACAACACTAAGAACATTTCTACTTTTTCATGTCTTCTTGGATTCTAACAAGAAAAACAATCAAGTAAAAAAAAAAAACACCAAAACAAGCAAATAAAACTTACAAAATAGGAACAACTGCAGTCTTGTTTTGGCAGTGGCCAACCACCAATAATTCTAATGTTATACTATTATACAAGTAATAGCAAAAAGTCCTACTGTTTTTTATTATTTTTAAATTTTTGAAGCCCAAGCCTTTTTCCAAAGGACGGGGTTTATAACTAGACTCAAACAGCATCTTCATCAACAAACTGTCTTAGAATTATCTTGTCTTCCCCCCCAAAATTTGTTTCAAAATGTTAGGTAGCAATGACAGAAGATGACTAGATACTATCCAGACAGGTGAAATATTTATTAGAAAAATATAAAAAACTAATTCAAATCTTAGCTATAATCATGATTCTCTTTAGCATTATATATCTTTAAAAATTAGATTTAACTTAGAATTCCTGAAACATCCTCCTATTTGTATTTTTAAATGTTTATGGTCCGGAGAGATGACTTAGTGGTTATGGGCACTTGCTGCTCTTCCAGAGGACCTGAGCTCAATTCTTAGAACCGACGTTGGGTGGCTTTCAACTATCTATAAACTGAAGCTCCATAGGATATGACACCCCTCTTCTGTCCTCTACAACCAACAGACACATACACATAAAAATAAAAATTAAAAAAAAATAGATCCTAATGATCTATACCCACAAGTCAATACATCATTCGGACCTCATCAGAGAAGCTTCTTCTTGGAATATTTGGTAATTAGCATAGAGACCCACAGCTGACAATGTGCAAAGATAGAGACTTTGGAGTACTCCAACCTAAAGGGAAAGTCTGAATCATGCCCCTACCCTCAAGGCTCAGCAATCTATTCAGACGAGGGAATAGAATTAATACATGAGCCAGAAGTGGTGGACTACCTCAATGGAAACATTCATAGACACAAGAAGGTTGGTATGAATACAAACTCATAGGGACTACCTAGGGCACAAATTTAAGTCCAACAAAGTCCTAGTACAGAGAAGGAAAAGTGGGAACAAACTCCCACCCATCACTAAGAGGATATTTACAATCAAGCTGCTGGAAGGGGGAAAATCAGTTTTCTCCAATGGAGATCATGGGTCTATCAACCACATTCCAGTATGGGCCTCAAGTTTAGGACAAGTTAGCCAACACAAACCAGACTCCAATATATTGCATGAAATTCTCAAAAATAAATAAAAACAATTTTAAACAAACAAACAACAAAACCAAACCCAAAACAGGACAGTTATCTGTTTAGAACAGGTTAGTAAGTACATCTGGAGAGAGATGGAACAAAACTTTAAGTCAGTGGGCTTCTTAAGAAAGTCTATTCTTTTGGAAAAGAGTTAATTACGGAATAAATGGCAGAAATAGAAAAGGTATCCAAATTTATAATAGAAAGTACCTTTAAAATGGTATCATTATCAGATGACAAGCTAATATTTTCTTTATTTTTAAATAAAAATAAATGGATAGAACTATAAATAGTTATGTGCTATTTATATCAACTGTAAAATATAGTAATTTTTAAAGCAACAGACTATTCAAACATACAAACACACAATAAGTACGCACATAAATATGTATGTGTGTTGGTTAATTTTGAAATATCTACAATTTAGGAAAATTCTTTCTTCACCTTGAACATCTTATTAATAATAACCAGATATATTCTCATCAAAGAAAAGTTTAAGTCAAATCAAGCAATATTAAGTTCCTAACACTGATACAAATCATTACCAAAATAATGTTAATGTGCTTGGCTTATGACATTTGTTCTTTAATGTGTTGAAATTAAATTTTTGACATAAATAAAAAGCTCTTTCAATGGAAAATTCCAAAGCATTTGACTCTGTTTGTATACTACACTACAACTGTACTACAAAGGAAGGTTATATACTGGATTATAACTTACTGAGTCATCAGTGGCAGAAGCTGGCCAGCCCTCCCATAACTGATGTCGAACAGGTATACTTGTAAGGTCATACACATTTCTCTTTACCTATAAAAAGAGAGCAACAGAATTATAACAGGATTTTGACATTATTTTAATTATGGTAGCTTTAATTCATTTGTTTAACATAAAACATGTTTCACATTTTCTTTTAGCTTCAAAACAATTTAGAATACAAGCCAGAAAATTTTTAGAAAAGTTTAAAAATATAACTGTAAGAGCAGAATTTCAATGAAGGCTAGGTGAAGTGATGTTTCAAGAAATGACTGTCTTTTGTGACTGATTTCAGTGTATGCATGGGTGTGTATAAGTAGACATGTGATATGAGAATTGGTGCACTCAGAAGCTAGAGGCATGGGATTCTCTGGAGCTGGAGATTCAAGTGGTTAGCGCCCATATGGGTACTAAAAAGTGAACTCAAGCTCTCTGCAAAAGCAGTACATACTCTCAAGCACTGAGCCATCTCTCCAGATCCATCATGACTAACTTTTGATCACTGGCTGACTTCAAGGAGCTTTTCAGTTAAGAAACTTCAGTTAATAGTTCACTGAAAGCTGACTACATTTGTAAATGTTTATAAGTAATTTAATTTTAAAACTTTATAATTCAAACAAAAGTATATTTCAAGTTTTCATTTGATGGGGGATGTTCTTCTGTATATGTTTCTCTTATCTAGCTGACGAATAAAACACTGATTGGCCAGTAGCTAGGCAGAAAAATACAGGCAGAGCTACCAGACAAGGAGTCTAGGGAGAGGAGGCCAGAGAGACTCCATGTAGCTACCGGGAAGATAGGACACGTCAGGCATTCTCTGATAAGATAGGGTCATGTAAAAATACACAGATGAATTGTATGGGTTAATAATTAAGAGAGAGCTAGCCAGTAAGAAGCCTGGGCCATCAGCCAAACAGTTTATAATTAGTATACGTCTCTTTGTGTTTATTTGGGGCTGAAGGGCAGTGGGACCAGGCTGAACAGAAACTCTGACTACATTCATTAATGAGAAGAGAGTGAATTTTGCTTAAAGTGGAATAAGGGACTGAAGTTACTTTATGTTTTACTTTCAAAGGCATAGAACAATATAAAGCAGGTAAGGTAATTTCTTTAACATCATCCCAAATTAACAACTAAGGTTTCCATTAATATCATAGTTTAGCCTCTCCTAAAGACAAAATAATTGCTACATAGAGAGATCCAGGACAGCCAAAGCTACTTAGTGAGATCCTGTCTCAAAACAAGCAAACAAATAAAAAAATTAAAACACCAAAATTTTTGCCTAACAGCAACATTGTACCTTTCACTTTAAAGGAAGAAGAGTCATCAAAACAAGGTTGTGGAGAGTTCAACTATCTGCTATCCAGTGACTTAAGGATCATATTTTGCTGAGGGTGTTGAGCCACACCTGCAACTCCCATACTCCACTGTAAGGCAGAGGACCTTGAGCAAGGGGCCAACTTGGACAATTTGAAGGATTCTGCAAACCCACACCCCCCAGAGGATCATACTTTATTTTCTTAGAATTTTTTTTTCTAAACACACAAAAGTTCTATTTCCTTTTTCATTCACAATTAAAATTAATAGCTAATTACAATAATGAAGAGGCAGTCCATCTAGTATACGCTTACATCCAGGCTGATTTTGAGATGTTGTACGTATCTTCTAAGATTTTAAATATGGCTACTCAACAAGCAGCACTAATTCATGCTTCTAAAGTGCAGAGCTGTAAAGTACCATGCTGTTTAGCTACAGCACTTTGTTATATTACTCTTTACTACACACAAACAAATCTAAGTTGCCCTTCCAGTAAAACAGAGATATGCACACACTAAGGAAAAAGCAAAGCATGGAACTCAATCTATTTTTATCTCTAATGTACCCATGGGGGGGGGGATTAGTAAATGAGATCTGAGGAGCTTGGGACACAGCTTGACCCCCCACTCAATTTCAACAAAAAGCTTTTCTCCAGCGTGTCTCAGCAATGCTTAGGCTACTCTGCAAATTTTTTCTGATAGTCATCCCATCAAGTTTGGGAATTCTGATCAGTGCTTGCCATTCCAACAACTCAGCCAAAGGCAATTGGACCAGACTTTAAGCAATTTTACTAGTTGAATCCATTTAGTCACAAACATGTATTAGTGCCACTGGGGACAAAGGTGCTTCAATATTCCAAAACATTACATTCATAAAAGAGAAAAGTCACAAAAGAAACTATGAGGAATCTTTAGACTTCAAGACAAAATTTCTTTCTTTAAACTTAAGTGCCTAAATACACCAGAGTTCATCAGCTATTTTTGAAGAAAAGCAAGAAAAGAAAAAATGTGTATGCATTGAAAAGATGGAGCGGTTATCCAACCAATGGAAACTTGCATAAACATGATGGCCACATAAACAATTAACTTTGGAGTGAAATTCCTTAAATTCTACCTTAATTCCAAAATACCATGATACATTACTCTGAAATAAACAGTATTTTCTTGTTTCATTAACTCATATAAAACTGCACTGAAGAGAATGACATTCCTCTGCTATTCTAAGCCTGAAAAGCATGTTCTGGCTATAGTGCCATGTTGGTATAAAGCACAATGCCAGACTGATGTGCTGAACAAAAGTGATCAAAGTTAAATTAATGTTAGCCATTGCACAAGCATTTGGCTTCATTGTCCTTCCCAGAATTGACATCTGTTAAGCAACTTGTCGTAGAATAAACTAGTCAATGCAGAGAGAACTTAGCTGAGAGAGTACCATGTAATGCATATTAGGCTAATGTTTGATTATTCCAATGCAAAGGCTAAATTCACAAAGTACTCAATGACAAAAAAATCTTATGATAAATCACAGTCACTAAACAGCAATTTAAGTGAAAACAAATTGGCTTTTCAAAATTAAATCTATGCTGTAACCATTGGCAGATTTTAGCGTTATAATGCAAAGTAGTAACAGAGACATCAAAATGGTGAGTTTAGTAAAAGAGATAAAAATATTATTGTACAGTGAAGGAATTAATAAGTACACAAAGCAAATGTACAAGTAATTATTTTTAAAGTAGTCTTTAAGGAACTTGAATGACAAAGCACAGGTATGTATAAAATGATGCTGATGAGCAGGGTGATGGTGGCACACACCTTTAATCCCAGCACTTGGGAGGCAGAGGCAGGCAGATCTCTGTGAGTTCAAAGCCAGCCTGGTCTACAGAGCAAGTGCGGGGGCAGGCGCCAAAGCTACACAGAGAAACCTTGTCTCAAAAAAAAAAAAACAAAAGAAAAAGAAAAAGATGCAGATGAATTTGAAGTTCCTGTGAAATAGATCAAAGACAAAGAGTTCTCCTAGAGAAGAAGAGAGACTAAAGAGAAAAGAAGTGGAGAGAAGCAAGGGGGTAGGCAAAAGAGTAGGGGATATGAATGATGGAGAGAACAGGAAAAGAAAATGGAGGGGAAAAAAGATAATTAGAAAGGGATGAAGTGTGAAAGGCATTAGTGAGGATGGGGGGACACGAAGCAATGAGAGATTTCTGAGTAGCTGAGAAAGGGAGAATGAATACGCAAAGGTTGGTCCCCTATAGATGACATTCTCAGCTGATAATACTGTTCCATTTCTGATGCAGTTTCATCTTTAAAGGCTGTTAAATTCCAATTAAGTAAGAACAACTGACACTTACTAGATAACATTTCTTAAGGGACTTTTTTTGTCTTACATATTTCCTTTGATCAGCAATGGCTCAAAATCATGCTGCACCTTCAAAATCTTTATAATTCTTGCTTTGTGTTAAGCTCTAAATCTATGAGATTTTAGGATGCTAAACCATACAAATGTTTCATTTAGTTCTGAATGGATGTAATAGATACTATGGTTGCCAGCCAAACACTAAAACAAACTATACTATATTTGAATTTGAAGTTCTAGACTAACCATAGATTTTTCTGGAGATTGCTTTCTAGATTTTTTTAAGAGGACTTTTCTCCACTGCTTCAGATGAGTAAATAAAATCACTCACAGACACAGACACACACACACACACACACACACACACACACACACACACACACACACACAAGAATAACGAGAAAGTACAAGATATGGTTCAGATTTATTAGTTACTTTCATTGTTGACATATATCTAAATATGACAATAATTTTAAGTGCTAATTTTCTCTACTTCAAGATTCACAGCTCCTCAATATCTCTAAAGATGTTAATATTAAACAGAACACTGGGGGAAGGAGCATTTCATGATGGCATACTCTATATAAATATACTCATAAGAACTCATCTTTCCAAGTTTTCTTTTAAATTCACTTAAAGTTCAAATAGCTTTTCTTTGAGTGAAATTTCATTACAATTTCTTACAGAAAAGTTCTTAGGATAATTACCCAACTAAATGCTCAATTTTAAAATTTAGATTCAAGTGAGATTAAACTCAAAATAATTTTCATAGTTATTCCAACTGAAACTAAAAGGTCTATAACACTTAGAGGTTAACACTCAGTTACAATAAAGTCATTTCTTGTCAACTAAATACTGATAAAACTTTTCTGAAGGAATTTTAAATGCCGCTCAGGTATGTGCTGTGGCATAAGAAAAACAGAACTAGAGTTCCAATTCTAATCCAACAGCTATTATTGTGAACAAATTGGTGGGGCCTTTCTTATAGTTTACTCAACCTTAGAAGAGAATAAATCATGATCATTTCTGCCTTTCAATGTTATAAAATCCTATGATTTCATGAAGATATTGGAGTTAGTCCTGGGTGCAGAAAAAGAGCTAAATATATGCAAGACAAGGACATAATGAGGGCATTTACAACTATTAAGGCTCTAGCCTTAATTTTCTAAAATGGAATAGAGGTAGAACCAATATATATAACTGACATCAAAGAGAAAAATTCAAATAATTCCAGATGAAAAATAAAGACATAGAAGCATTTTAAATCAAAATTTTCTTGGATAAAGAAAATTATGTCTTAATTTTTCTTATGCCTTAATAAAAAAAACCTAATTAATATTTTTCCCCTCATAAGATGTCATTTTAAAATAAGGCCCGTCACAGTTTTT